AATATAATCTGATATCATCTGCAAACATTTTGACCTTGACCGTCATATACCTCTCCTCAAGATACGAACCGAGTCAGGCCCGAGAAACCGTCCAAGAATACCCAGAGCGTCCACCTTTCTGACAAGTTTGCGATGACATACTTTGTCAAATGCCTTGGTCAATGTCAAGTTATTGTTGGACGGTTATTTTTTACCTGTCATGAGTGATGATCAGCTTGAAGGCACAGTTCACGATAGTTCACGATAACAATGGTATCTGAGATTTTCGCATGGTATAAATTCGAGGCCCCCTCTGATACCATATGTGCCGAAATGAGGTAAAAAAAGTCGAAGGTCAAGACTTTGTGAGGCCAAATTCGGCTACGACATATGAATATGGAGATTTTGTTGATGCTGATGTAAAAGAGTTACTCACTAGAGGGGCGATAGAGGGAGTAGCACTAGGGACTCCACTAAGAATTAACCCGGTAGCTTCGGATAAAAAGCTAAGGCTCATCTTAGATCTTTCGCAATTGAATAAAAGAATAGAGACGCAAAGGGTCAAGTTCGAAGACCTATCCAAAGGCCTTCCACTCCTGCCAAGAGATGGCTATATAGGTTTCTTTGACCTTAGGTCCATGTAACACCACGTCAAGAACCACTCTTCCTGTACCGATCTTTTAGGATTTCGATGGAAACGGAAGCTATACAATATCCTAGTGCTTCCATTCGGGCTCTATTCCGCTCCTATGGTATTAACAAAACTCATGAGGCCCCTTTTAGGAAGATGGAGAGCAGAAGGAATCAATATTGCCACCTACTTAGATGACGATGCGCGACGACAATGTTTCCATATAATCACAAAATAAAGCTTGCTGACTGTGGATTAAAAGTTGTATTAAATGCCCAGCTGCATAGCCCCATGCGGCTCAGCATTTGCCTGTAATCTTGCAGGATCTTTTATCTCGAATATTTTGCAATGCCTGATTTAGCAGAATTGAATATTCAGTGAGAAGTCGTTTCTGCGATTTAGTTGAATGGACCCTGTCAATTTGTTTTGTTGATGGTGATAGGGTTCGCCATAATGGCTAAATCGTCTCAATCGTTTGGACATAACTGCAATAGGCTAAACAGATTCCAAGTAAATCGTACCAGCAATTCGGATCGTTCACTGTTTGTCGCTTATGCGCTCTGGAAAGAAGGAAGGCTCTTCTGTGTAGTTGTCTCGCCTCAAACTTGGACATTCACCCGGAATACACCATCAAGAACAGCAATGTGACCATTCTTTCATAGCAAATAGAAAGCGGTAGTAATTGACCTGTCGTCCTTAACCACCCCTCTTATACCGTCCAATGGTTCGCGAGATGAGCAAACCTGTAAAGCATGGGTTTGAAAAAGAGGAAAACTATTATGACGTTAATGATGATGGCAAGAATCTCAAATTCATTATCAAGCCCACTCTATCGCAGTACCAGGCGCTCTGGCGAAAAGCAGATCTGATCATATCCTAACAATCGGAAAAGGTGCAAGAGCTTTCCAGTTCGACCAAGGCCAATGGCTTTTCCACCAGGGTCAATTTAATTTTGAAAGCCAAGTTCGTAAACACTCACCCAATCACTCGGATTATTTTCTAGATCGCCCTTTCGTCAACAGCTCAGTTCCGATGACAAATTTATACCATATCAACCCTAATCGTAATTACGAAGAATGCTTACAAAGTCGATGACATGGCGCAGCCAGGCGAATGCATCCCATTTTCGTTTCTTTTTGAGTGCAGTTAGCGGATCCAACTTCCTTCACCATCTTACTCCAATCAAGCTGTCACTTCAACCCAAAACCGCTCGGTTCGGATTTGAGGCGGGCCCATGGCTATGACATTGTGCCAATAGAGGTCCCACTGCGAATCCTTGCAAAAGTTGGCAAGGGACTGTCTTTTTTACGAAGCAAGAAGAACTGGCATTTGGTCTGAGCATAGTGCATTCACAGAACGTTTTCTTACCTGTCTATAAAAGTACTTCAGCGATATGGAGAAAAATTGTAGTAGCTCAGGGTGAGGGAAGCTTTTACAAGTTTCTAAATAATATTATAAAATACGTGATAGAAGGTGCATTGATTTTTTAAATAGCGGAGATCTCATAGCGTGCAGTCCAGCAACAGGCCAACCTGTTTGCTGATCAGTTCTCTAGGTCGCTCACGGGTGATGTTTGTGTTCCCAAATTTTGTTCGGCTGGTATCTCTATCATTAATGAGCTGCCATGGTTCTATGGGGCTCAGCTCTATGAACGGATTATGCTTTGGCCCGAGTCTACATCTGCGACACCTGACTTCATGCCGCTGGTTTTCATCCAAAGTATGGCTGATACTATCTCTGAGCCATTGACGTATATTTTCAATCAGCCACTTATGAATGAAGAAGTACCTCATCGCTCGAAGCACTCTTTCATCATCCCTGTTCTTAAGAAGGAACCTTCGTCGGACCCGGCAAACTATCGACCTGTCTACGTCACATCTTTGCTTTGCAGACTCCTTGAGAAATTTATCAAAGAGCATATTCTTGGGTATGTTACCGCCTACAGAATCATACCACGAGTCCAACATGGTTTTATTCATGAGAGGTCGGTTGAAACGAATGATTGAAAGTCTGTATGACTGGACCGCCGCGCTTGATATTAATCAATGCGTGACGTCATATACTTTGACTTTGCAAAATAGGGCGCCCCACAATAAAATGGTCTACAAGCTAGGAGTCTTGAAGTTTCATCCTACCCTTGTAAAATGGATTTCCAATCATCTACATGGCAGGACCTTTCAGAGTCCTGCCATGTAGATGTGGGGCCGGCTTACTCTGATAGCACGAGAGTGTTGAGTGGAGTGCCGCAAGGATGGGTCCCTACTTCGGGGCTGATTAATTTGTCAATGCAGAGATAACTGGTTTATTCGATGGGTTACATGTTGTGACGAAAATGTTGCTGATGATGTAAAGATTCCTCTCAAAAGAAGACTACAATCCTGTCCCTTTTCCCTCCAGTCCTTATACCATGGATGGAGTTTTCATCTCCTGCGTAAACTGTTTAAGGAATCTTGGCTTTCTCTATACCAACATTCTCGAATTTTCGATGCACTTTCGCTCCCGGTGTAGGCTAGCATTACTGCACACGTCGCGCATTTTCAAGGGGCTGTCTACCACGAACAAGTCCATCCTTCTTAAAGCTTATAAGACATATGTTCGCCTTCTGGTCGAGAGTGGTGCTACAGTGTTCCATCTCACAGGAGGAAGGACGTCATTGCCCTTGAAAAGGTACAAAATAACTTCACGCGTAAAATTTTTTCCGGGTGTAGGCGTTTCTCTATTCTGGTACTCCTAGTGCCTCCATTCGAATTAAATATCTTGAACTCTCAACATTGGAATCGGGCGCATGGTAATTGATGTGTGTATGGTTCACAAACTTCTGTACCAATGTAATGATTTTAGCTCCTTTGATGTTTATAGTGCAACACATTCTCGAACAAGAGGTGGGCAGACTAAAATTATGCTTCCTGCGCCTAGAACGAATATAAGAGCCAGAAGCTTCATCATCAGAGCTGGTAGTTTCTACATAAATGTGTCCGAAAATCTGATAGTCTCCGATGCTCTGAGTAGGTTCAAGCGTAACATGACAGTGGCTCTAACCAAGTATGGGCTTTCTTAGTCCTCTGAGACTGATCAATTGATTCCATAATTGTGTCTCTCTCTAATATCTAGGTTGAGGATGCATTATGTGTTGTATGGTTTCGTTTTAGTTTGTTCGTTTGTTAACATCTTTTATCTTTTGTTTATCACGGCCTATTACGTTGATTTGAGAAGGTTGTTTTTACTGCGTTTGCCTTACCAGCGTGACAAACAGAGCATAAAACATATAATACAGCCGCTCCCGACGAGCGCACGGTCGAGTATCCTATTAATACTACTTACTGAGCGTCCAACAGAAATGTAGGGAAGTTTGGAAGAAATTTTTTTTAAAAAACAAATATTGGAAAGCTAGATTTCGGTCTAGCCTCCACCTAACGTTGAGTTATCGGAAAGGAAAGAAGTGACCGGTCTCACTGTCATGTGCATGCTCAACAGAGCCAAAAAAGTACACCGGCCAGCTTTCTTGGCCTAAAAGATGTAATCGCCGACGGTGCTCCTCATCCCATAAGAGCTGGCACTGATATAATTCATTCATGTGTCAAGAGTCCAGTCTCTGTTACTGAAAGAACTGACAGTCCACTGCAGCCAACATATGTTTATGGAAGTGCTCGAAAAATTAGAGAACTTGGCCCAATCCAAAAGAAACGAAAACTCCGTCGAGATTTCCAGTAGAAGGCCCCTCCGTTTTTCATAGAGTGATTAATGTGTGCACGTGTGTGGGCCTTCCCCAGGTTGAGTTATATTTGCTGCTGCGGTTCTCAAACCATCTATTATTCATAGCAATTGATGTCTTTCATGCTATGATAACCTAGGCACTAACAGGAGGTCGTCTTGTGGGGAAACTTACAACCCGGTTTTCCAACATGATAGAGAGACCGTAAGCGTTTTTCCACTATCGAAATATGCATGTCGAACCTCTTACCGCTGAGTGTCTTTCCAGTATGTTGTCTGAAGATGCTAGGTTTTTTTTTGCTCATCAATATCTTCGGTTAGGTTGAAGTGATGTGACGTTGCCGTCTAGCAATCACACGATCCCTATAATTGAGTTTGTTCCGGCCCAAAAAATTCTTACCTCTTTAGGAAAAGCGTTCGTATGGTTGTGAGAGCACCAAGCACAGAGCAGCTCAGACTCTGCTCCTAAATGACTTTGAAAGAATCTCAAAGAGATCTCATCTCCAGCCCAAACTGGAGGAATGAGCTGCATAACAAGACAACACTTCTCGTAATAGTTGTAGCTGTTCATCTATCTTCATGACATGCGTAAATAATATATAATAATATCACACAACACAAGAGATACGGAAGGTATATGTGAGGTTCATACACGTACAATTTGGCCATAGCTAATTCGTCAAAATGAAAAGATCGTCAAAACGAAAAGAAGAATACTTAGGCTCAGTAGTGAACCGACAGAATTGATTTGCGCGAGCTCTTCGCTGACAATATTCTTACTCAAGCCTTTCCTTGATTGGGCAACTGCTTCTTCGTTGGGAAACCGAGCATAGTCTTTGACGGGAGAAACGGTCGTAGTTGTTGTCGATGTTGGTTCCGTAGTTGTCAAAATCGGCTGCGTCACAGTGGAGGGTGGCGCTTTCCCCTCGACTTCAGAAGAAAGGAGCCTAGTCGAGGCGCCAGTGAAATGGCATCCCGGCATCAAGGTGTTAGTCGTGTCTTTGAGCACTCTGTAAATGACCTGCCAGGCTGATGATCCACATTCGTGCTTGATAGGAGACTTGACACAACCGGCGAAGAAGTTTAGCGCCCTGGAAATGCTACTCTCTGCTGTTAACCAGACAATGGTTTACCCTTCACCACCTACCCACACATCCGATCGAGTTTCTCTGCCATTGCAATCCCAGTTTCACTGTTGGCAGTCTCGATTTCCACCAACGTCTCGTCGTGACATTTTTTCACTTCCGGTTTGCGATCCAATTCCATAAGGCACTCGGCCGATTCCATAAACGCTGCAACATCGGAGCTGTGCTCGAGCTCATATAAAACGCCGATCTCGCGAATAAGAATAGCCAGCAATTACGACATCAATAAAACAGTGAATGAGGCATCAATCACGCCGAGAATAACGACGTCTTCCAGTAGCGATTATTTGTCATCCGTCTGAGGAATGAATGAACAACTATTTGTGTAATATGTTGCGGGCTGTTTCTAAAACATATTTGAAGAGTTGGCCGATATAAGCAGGTGCTGGATCTCCGAAGGAGTTACTTAATACAGGCGGGTGCTTCTAGTTTAGGGTAGTAGGTTTATGGGAGCTCAAAAGGGATATTGGAGGCTACCTTACCCTTTAGTTTCAGCAGCGCTCGATCTTTTCGCGCCTTATTTTTAGAGAAGAAGGAGAAGGCGGTAATGTAACACCATCAACTGCACCATTCCATCTGATACGAGATGGCAGGTTTGAAGGCACATTTAGGCGTAATTTCGGGCACAAGTTAAATAAGAAAATAATAGTGCGCATCGGCAAGGAAAGTGGCGATAATGTTAGTGGCGAAGAAAGCAAGGAAATCCGCAGAGTTTGCAAAAAATAATGCTTCTTGAATGTAGTTTGTTCCCAGGCTTGTACGAGATTGTTAGGGTGAGGCTTAGGGGTGCAGCACCGCCAGACATCTTTGCCCAAGTTTTTTTTAAATGTCTCGTATATCAGACGAGATTAGGATGTGTGTGTGGGTTCGAATGAGCTTATGCCGTATATTGAAATAAGTCGTTTATGAAGTTCTGCATCCATTGAATTTTATTCCACCATGAGGCGCTGTGGAATCTAGGTTCCATCTGGTTTTTCGCATCTGTCCCGTTTATCAGTAGCTTAATGCTATTGCGACATTTACTTTGTCATTTCGTCTACTTATTGTTATCCTTTCTAACACTCACACACCGAGATCTACCACGAAATGAAGTCATTCAGGAGGGCATTCTGAACATTCAGCCAATTGCGCTTTCAACCAATGCATTGTGGGGAGAATGGTGTGCGGGTACTGTAGCGCGGCTTCTACAATAGGGCTGACATTCAAAGGAGCTCCCAAATCCGTCTCAGTAGTGGACCGCTACTATCATACAGCACATTTACACCCAGTCCGGTTGTCCTCGAAATCCTCGAACTACTCAGAAAAAAGACAATACACTGAGCGTCACGGTTGAAGCTCTTACTGCAATTTGACTGCTCTTCTTCTGAATCCATAGCTTTTCTTGGAACAAACGATTAATTTTTAACCAAAATTTTTCGAAGGGAAATATCCCATTACTTGGGTGCTATGTAAACAACAGATAACAACTCGATCAGAAGTCCAGATGTAACCCTCTTCATTTTAATTTCCTACAGGGATGGATCTCTGTTTTGCAGTGATAGACAATGGACCCTTGTCACGTCGAAAAAGTGCCTGAAATAGGGCATAATAAAGGCTCAAAGATTGTCTTTATATTTATCGAACCCGGAAGTGATCGTGTTTTAATGGCTTCACAGAGGATGCACCATTCACAACGGAGCACACACACCCGTACCAGCTTTGTCGTCATAGACTCGTACATACTCCTATTTTTGCTAGTGTCAGGAACCGCAATA